GTAATGGTTTGATCATATATTGACGTAAAACCATAGTAATAGAAACAAGGGTGAATTTGTGGGATAACCAAAAAAAAAATATAATTTAAAAATAACAAATTGGGTAGAGAAAGATGGAGAGAGAAAAATATAGATTTTAGTTAGTTTTTAGATTAATTTTTTTTTTAATGTTATTGGTGCTAATTTTCCTAGAAACAATTGGAGCCAAAAACTTGAAATGGAGGCAAACTAACAAAAACAAAAAAAATTCTTGAGACTTTTTATAGGTCTAATTTCATTTACAAATATAATATGAGAGTCAACAAGATTTGATTATGAGGAACCAACGTAGGTTTGACTTCGATCTTGGTTGCAAGTGACTCTTCGACTTTTTTTTTTTTTTTACTTTACAAATAATGTGATCATGTTTTATTGAGGTTAAAAATGGTATAACATGTTAAAATATGTGTGAGAAATCTAAAACGATATTTTTTTGTAACAAAAAAATTGTATCAAAATGACACTCTTTGTGAAACAGAGGAAGGAGTATTAACTATACTATTGCCAATAATAACAAGAAATGGAGAAGGGCCATACTCTCTATTTCCGTATATTAATAGAGAATCTATCAACAAGATTATGTTCAGTCTCTATAATTAATGACAATATTTATTGCCATTTTTTTCTTATATGTTTTTCCATCTCTTATAACATTTTTTTTACCATAATCGTCCCTACAAGCAGAACTAGGGTTTTTGCTCTTCATCTATATAAACCACTTTAACTAATCATCTTCTTCTTCACATCATCAATTCATCACAATCTTATACAACTCTTTCGATATATTTTTGTTTTTCCGTTTTGTAATAAAAAAGTTATCAAACTTTTTTTGGACACTAGTTTTTCAAGTGTAATAACAAAAAGGAGCTCCCTTCGTCCAAAACGAAGAGGACAAGATTTAAGGAAATTAAAAAGAGAAATCTAATTGTTCATGGATTTCCCATAGAAAGTGCGTACGTTAAAAGCTCGAAGAAAGCGCACTTAAAGGGGTTTGCATGGCCTTTTAGATCTTTCTCTCTTTCTCTATATACATCCTTCTCTTCTCTTCGTTTGGATTGAAGGGAGCTCCTTTTTTTTCTTTATTCTCTTGTCTCTATCTTTTGAGTATATAATATGTTTCAAATTACAAATTTATTTTTTTAGCAAAAAAAAAAAAATTACAAATCTATTTTACACGATTAATTTTTTTGAGTTTTGTGTTGTTGGTTTGTCAATATAATTGCCAACTATATATGGATCATGGTGGATTTTTTTACCATGATTGTAACTGAACTATAATTCAAAGAACTTGTGATTTGTCTAATGATTTCTTGTTTCAGTTTGATGTGTTTTATTGTAGGTGTTTGTGGTTGTTTCTTGCATCGAAGTGTCATTAATGTGGTTTCATATGAGAAGTTGTCGTGGGCCAGTTTCAAAGTAGGATATGAATGCTGTTTAATATTGTATCGATGTTATCTCGATAAGATTAATTAAAAGTCAATTTGTATATATTAATGTTGGTTGTTTTTTTTTTCTTTCTGAAACATATCATATATTGATCAACCTACAACAGCCAACATATCATTACAACACAACATGTGTTAATCGACCAGGCATTGCTCATGAAACATGAAGGCAAAGGGTCCAAAGACCAGACCAACAAGCGGTCCTATACACAAAAAAAAGTGATCTCTACCCAAACAGAGAACCCTATACACCGAAAATTGAGTAATACCAAAACAGAGGACTAACCA